CTCCAGTTTTTCACACCCAACTGGACTGCTATCATGGCTTGCTGGTCTGGCCATCTCCGGGGTTTGTTTAGTTGCTTTATTCAAGGAGCTGGCCTTCTGTATTATAGGATTACCCGAGATTAACGTAGAGTTCAAATTCTGCTGATCCGCGGATCCCAGAGCTGAGCAATTCTCTGATTCGTTCGTAGGATTTACAAATTCTCTTACACCACCTCCAAACTGATTATCCGAATGTTTATGCAACGGGTACGGAGAGATAGTGGGCTTGTTTGAACCATTAGATTTAATTTTACCATTGTTTGTGGCCAGATCCGAGGCCTCGACGGAAGCGGCAGAGTTCTTGAGAAGAGCCAAACGCTTCCGTTCGGCAAAGACTCGTTCTCGATAGTATTCATCGCAGGGATGATCCCAAATAGACTTACCATTTGCAAAATTGAAGTAGTATATATCACCGCTGGTGTCTTGACATGCCTTCCAATTCTTAGGTAAGGGCGTATTAATGCCCTCTCTAGCTATGTGCATCAAATCTGCTTCCAAGTTCGGATCTATTCCAAGGATACTTGCATAATCATGTAGTTCGTCTAAAGATGGGTTATATTCAGGATCATAATTCTCTTCCAGAATAGTTTGGCCATTGATACAACGAGTCATGGTGTATTATTTTCTCGCTGTAGGCAGGAGGGAAGGCAGAATTACACAAAGGGTTGTAGAGTAAAGGTAATACATATGAGGAATTTAAAGAAGTTCTTCCTTGTTTATAAACTTGTATGCAAGTATAGTAGGTGTCCTTGCTCATAATTACTTGATTATAGTTGATTGAGCCCAGAGGAACATATATACAAAATGGCAATTAACAATCAATTACGAATTAATTATTCGTCTAAGTTCAGTTAGCTGAAGGTCATCTATGTTCTAGCACACATTAATTATATGTAACACATGTAGATTCGACAAATTAACCGAACCTTGCGAAAAATTCAAAATTACATGAGCGACCCAAGGAAAAAATGTATTAAAAACTTCGAATGAAGACTGTACTGAGTCGGTCATAAAATCAGTCTGTTAGTCTTAAATAATGTTGATCTCACAGTCGTCTATGCATGACAAATTTTTTAGATTTCATGCTTAAAAGTGAAGCCGATTAAAAAGTAAAGAAAATTGCAACAATACAAGATAGCGTTCAAGCAATAGCTGTACGAGACCCTAATTGAAACTCCATATGCTAACTACCTGACAGAATTAACGATATACTGTGTATTTACTGTATTCCCTCCGCTTCAGGTATCATTCACTGTGGCCTAGTGACACAAATTCTAGCTTGAGAATGTGCGACCTTAGGCAACACAGAAAGTCGACGCAAGCTGAATGGTGGAGGGCCAGGTC